TTCCAACCTAGTGATTCTGTGATTCTGTTTTGTTCCTTCAAAATTGTTTATTAACACTAAAGCAATTTATCTGGAACAGTCTTTTCCATATCCTGTTTTTTATTTCACCTGTGACATCAGGTTCCTCTCAAAAGTAATTAGATAAAATCCTAAATTTCAAATTTGTCAAAGCTGTTTGAAATCTGACATTCCATGCTTTAAATGCATGTAATTTAAAAGGGAAAGCTGAGAGGAAGTAGAAATTTCAGCAATTTCTGTAGAAAGGAAGTGAACTTGGTTTATTTTTAATTTTAGTTTCTGCTTCCTTTTGCTAAGTGTAAAAAGATGTAAGTACAAATATAGCTTGACATTTCTGCTTTGGAGCTGAAAGTGATACAAATACCTCTTAACAGTCTGTTCATTTCCATGATTTAAATTTTTTTCTGAGACCAACTTATTGTAACTTTCTATAAAAACACAGACTTAGAAATATGCATCTGTGATCTAAAGTGTGTTACAGATGTGCAGGTTTGATTCTGTGTAACACAATTATGTTTGCTTCAGACATAATGTTTGAATAGACAGTGTATTGGTCGGGGGTGTGGTGGGGGCTGTTTTGTTGTTTTTATAGGTCAATTAATTGATGAACCATTTTGGGGCCATAACTTAAAAGTGCTTGGCACCCTCTACCAATTATGAATTAAAGGTGAGTTGAGGGAACTTTTCATGTTGCAGGACTAGGCTTAATGTTTACATCATGTTTTGATTATAATTCTACCTCCATTCAGATATAGAACAAATTTCACATACAGTGTTTCCACACAAATTAAGTGGAATTTTGATGCCCATGCTCTGCCTTTTCAGCCAGACTTTATTGGATTTATTTTTTGTTGTTGTCTATGGACCTACAGTCATAAATAAAGATGATCCTTATTAAACATTTACCCTGCTGGGGGTGAAATAGTTGGCTTTAAGTTTCAACAGTCTTATAAAACCAGAAAAAGAGGAAAATCCTGATTTTGGGTTTGTTTGTTTGTTTGTTTTTGAAAGTATAAGGATGAATTATTTGATTCAGATCAGTTTCTTGAGTGAGTTAAGGAAATACGTCTTCTTTCTGTTATCTGACGATTTCATAAAGATAATATCTGTTCTTTAATGAGATCTTACCACTAAACAAACAGCAAATGGAAATGTACCAGCACTACAAATATAATCACTACCATGGAGAGTTCTTGTGTGTAAAAATGTGCAGAATATAGCCTCTTTTAAGCTCATGTTAATGGTTGGTCACTACCTGACCCAGGGGAATTAGGCAAATGGTTTGATGATGAGGACCTTATTAATCATGCAGAGTGAAATTTGTCTGTTCGCACAAGGTTCACAAAGGGCTTATGCATCCCTTGTACCCTATTTTGAGGGCTGAAGCAAAGCTTGAAAGGTAAATAGAGTTTGTGCTGTATTGGAGAATGTTGTGCTTTTCAGTGGACTCCTAGGGCAGTTGATAAACACACTTTGAAACATATTATTTCAGTGCTTCAGCAAACTCCTGTGTAGTAGAGATAAGTAGGATGAGCCTAATTAACAAAGGGGCAGAATAAAAGGTAAATATTTGTGTAGTACATATATCAACAATTATCATTGTAAGTGTGATGAGAAAAGCAAAGCAAAAAGGGATTATACTAACTTGAGACAGTCATCTTCAGCCTACTTTGATGGTTTGGTTAATATTCTCTGGTCAGCTTTCTGAAAGAACATGACTCTTGCTTCAAAAATAGTGCGGTGGTTGTTTAAAATACAGTTGCTACACTAATATCTGATCTCTGCAAGGGTTATGTTTCTTTGCACAGTCATGCTTAGCGTGATTTTGCACTCTCTGCCAATTTAATATTTTGTGCTTTTAATATAGCATTTGCCAGTGACTGATCATGATCTGGAGTTAAATTTTGTATGCTAGACACCTGTAAGTCTTAGTATTTAAATTTGTATTTGGGTGGAAGACGAGTGTTTCACAGTCTTTGTCTTAGATGAGGAATACCTGACAGATCAAGTTACATTGGAAATTGCATCTGTGAACATCAAGACCCTTACGTCAGATTCTGGCCTAATCCAACAGGTAAGAAAAATGATACCTGAATGTGAACTAAGTTAATGCTGTTTATTAAATAATGTTAACAAATAAATATAGTTTCAGACTGTATCTGGAGAGCATGGAATTACTCAGTAAAACAGACCAGAAATAGGCTCTCTTTTCAAGAGTTCGATGAAATGAGCTTTTGTGGAGAAGAGCAAAAGAAAGGTTATTTAATCATTAATGTGTACTTTGTAGTTTAAGTAGGTTTTGATTAGTGTGTAGATGCTCTGAAGAAGAGCTGACAAAAAGTTAAGGCTTTGTCATTGCATGCTCTCCCTCTTTTCTGCTGAAATTAGAGCCAGGCCAGAGAAGTAGTGAAGTAAGGAATCCTAGTAAGGAAAACCACCTAATTGTGGTCATTTGACTGTTCTGCTTTGACGTTGGGACACTGCTCTTCTGGTAGCAGAAACGCTCTCCACTGTTTGTGAAATCTTGCATTGCCACAGGTTGGGCAATGCTGAGTGACCCTCATGCTCCATGGTTGCCATCTTTCAAGTGAATGTTATTTGCTGAATTTCAAATTGATTCTCTTTGGGTTGAGCAGAAAGCTTGGAGAAGAGAAATGAATGAGCATTTTCCAGTGAGATGCAGAAGTAAAAGGAGTTCCTTATACCAGCTGAATTTCATCAGAAACAAACATGGGTTTGGTGTGCATTTCACAGATGATGGAGGTAACTGTCTCATTCCCATCATCAAGAAGAGAGCATTTATTGCCAGCTTAGAATCACTAAAAATATATTTCAATGTATTAGGGTGTTAATGGTTCTACAGAGCTGAAAAACTTTCTGCTTATCTTCAGACTGTGCATAGGTTTATGGCTTTGATTAGACCTGTAGAGATTGATTGGATTTTAGTTGTGGACAGAAAATATTCTTGCTTAATACCTTAATTTCATGGGCAGTAGCACTACTTTCCAATTACATTACAATAAAATGATCTTGAATAAACCTGAGTGCCTCTGACTTCATAAAAAAGTACATAATAACTGATCTGTAAAAATACTAATTTTGAGAACAGATGTACGGCACAGGTAAGTATCCCTGGTTTTCTTTGTACTTTTTGCCATACTAGCTGCTCTTGTTATTTTTTTATCAGAAGACGTGAGTATAAGGACATCTTTTAAAGGCATTTAGGTATTAGCTTTCGCAATACGGTTTGAACTTTCATAAATTCATGAAGTCTGGGAAATATTACTGAAGCTCAGGACAGCAACACAGCTATTGCAAAGTAAGTGAACAGCGTCCACTTTTATTTGCTGTTTGTTTCTTTTGAAACAGATCTCTGGGGAGGCTGACCTGTGATGGGCAGCTCCTCATTCTCCCAATGAGTTACCCTTCTGGGGATTTGTTCTTCAGGGCTCAGTAATAATGTTCTACCTTTTTAAACAATTTGTGGGAATGGAGACAATGACTATAGTCAGGATCTCCAGATTTAATTTTTCTTAAACTTTGGGTGCTCACATGTTGCCATGATGGCCAAGTTGATGTTTAAAAAGCTTCATCCACATAAAGCTTACATGGTGCCACTGGAAAAGTAAACTATTAGAAAATAACGGCAAGCATTATTCTGTTGCAAGTGGCATGTGCAGTGTTAAAATGCTTTTGAGCAGAGAGCAGATGTTTTGTGGGATGAACTGATGTTGCGTGTGTGATCTTGCAGTTTTGAAGGAATAAAGAAATGCTGAAAACAGCATGCAAATTTTTCCTTTCCTAACAAAGTCTTTAAATATTTTGGAGATAGTTTACCTTCTTTATAATTGGGCTGTGAATGTATGCATGTTCACCACATCAACCGAAACTGCGTATATTCTATTTTTAGTGGATTTCTTAGTAAAGGTGTAGCAGGTAGCAATAGAGTATCTTATTACACTATATTGTTACTCAGTTGACTTGTGTTTGCATGCACAGCCTGTAAAATGTTAAGAAGCCTGCTGTGATAGTTTTGGAAGAATGATGTAATACAAAAAATCAACAATACTTTAATGCAGCTATCTAAGGGGGAAATCCCCTTCTCCTTTCATCTTTAATTCCTCAGCAGAAGAAAGCTATTTCACCTGGCTCCACACCCGTGTAGTTAAAGTAAGGGCAGCTGCAGTTTCCCGCAGTTCTAGGATGAAGGTGCTGTCCTTCCCATTTTTAGGTGTTGCTCTCCAAATAGTAGAATTGAAATGTTACAAAGTGTGTTGCAGTCTTAAGCTGCTAAGTAATTTGATTATGTTTAATTAGCAGGCAAAAAGCCACAGAGGGAATGTTTGCTTCAACCAGGAGGAGGGTTAGACATGAACCAGTAGAAATGTTGAAGTCCACCTGTTGTCTAGAAAAGCTTCTTATGTGTGTAAAGAAATTTGTAAAAAAAACTCCTCCACTTTTCCTAGACCAATGAAACAATCTCTTACTGCTGCATGTGACAGGCAAAATTATCTTTTTATTACAAAGCATTTTTAAAATCTTTTCAATCAAGCCATATGAATTGTTGAACAGCTGTTGAGGGATTAAGAACAAAGTAGTCAAAAGATGTAACCCCATAACATATCGTTAATAAAGATGACATTGTTCAGTGCATACAATCAACAGGGCAGTTTTGTGAGCGAAAGCATGAAAAAGCTGCCTGAAAAGACTGTAGGTTGTCAGTAATTCCTCAAAACCAGATATATTCCCTGTCTGACATTACAGGTAGATCAGGATTCTGCTAAGTAATCTCTTGCCACCTGTGAATTAGCCAAATAGTTACTCTGGTGTTCAGATACATTGTTTTGATTTATATTTGTTTCCTGCTTTGTAGCCAGAAGACAAAGACACGCAAAACCATGGTGACGAGTCACTTTCAGGTAGTATGTCAGCTTTACTGTTCTACATATTTTATTCCTAGACTTTCTTTGAAAGTACTTTATTAAAAACTGCGATTTGTCATAACCAAGAACTGCCTGGGTAGTCAATGCTTGTGGAGCTCATTACGTTACCAGTTTCATTTACAGCTTCCTTTTTGTTCTAAAGTGGATGGTGATCAACAATGCAGACCATACAAAATGTGTAAGTTGGGCTTTTCAGATACATCTAGTACATCCACCTTGGGAATAAATCTGTAAGCAGCTACCTGGAGAGAGCAGAAGCTGGCAGTGGGCTGTGGGGACTTATCCCATAATTGCATGAGCTCAGCTGGGGATGGGGTGTGTGTGGATGATATACAGCCCTGTTAATCTAACTGAACACCTGAGAATTTCCTGTTAGTAAGCTTGTCCTATCATGTACCATTACAGTCATGCAATTAGGTGGGTAGGTCTGCATTTTCACGTCAGTATCTAACACAGGGCATGTTAGAAAAGCAGGATTCTGTATAATGCTTTTGATGACCTTTAAAGGTCTCTTCCAACCCAAAATATTCTATGATTCTGTAGTCTGCACACGGTATAGCAAAAGAACCAGGTTGGTTTAGTTTTGTTTACCTGTAACTGTGCCCTGTGTTTTCTTCACCCCTTCTTCCCTGCTTCTGTTGGAGGATAAAACTTACTCTGGCATCCTTGCAAAGCAAAATAAGATGAAATTCAGATAGGGTGCTTTCCTGCCCTTCGAGCTCAGCCAGAACTTTGATCATATTACATTCATTTTGCCTTGTTTGTATAACTAAATCTTGGTATGAATGAAGCAAGCAAATTTTGTCTCACATCGGCAAGAGTTTAGGGTGCACAAGAAGAGCAGAATAGTTCATGTATGTATTTCTGCACAGAGCAGCTGCAAGGCCTGTGGAATACCTGTGAGCAAAGATGTGACCAGAACGTGTTTCCCTGTAACAGGGAGTCTAAGCATTTGTATGAAGTTACGCGTCTGCAGCACTGTTGTTGCTGCATGCCATAACTTGTTGAAAACTTCAGAAGTTGTCTTTGGCCTGCTAAAAAAGCAAGGTGATGAGCAACATTATGAAAGTTCTTCTCTTAAAAACAAAAACCAAAGTGCATGCAGAAGCTACATTCAGCTGAGTTGTTTATCAGCACTAACATTCAGAATAAAAAAATCATGATTTGACGGTCTTTCTGGAATTTTCATACAATCTGATAATAGTTACTGCAAATGAAAAAAAAAAAAAAAAAAACCTCCAAGCAAAAAAATCTAACGGATGCTGTTGTCTGTATGAGTAGGTGGCACTGAGTACCAGATTTGCCCTTTGCCAGAGTTACAGTTCAGGTCTCTTAGACCAGCACTGATCCAGCACTTGTAAATTTTGTATCACTGTTTTCTGTTGTTGTTTTTAATCACTCTTTCGATTAATACCAGTTTTCTTATTGTAGCATCCCTTTCTCAAAGAGTTTTATCCCAAATAGTTACTTCCCTATTTCAAAGTATACAATGAGGCTGGAGGGCAGAAGCTTTAGAAAGTGCTTCTAGGCTGCATCCATTACTAGTTTTCAGACATACCAAATTCTCCCTGCCTTCAGAAAGGAGCAGGGAGAGTTAAGGTCATATCTGCAGCCAAAATGCTTAAACAATGTCCTACACCACTGCAATGTTAAAGGTCTTAGTGTTAGTATTTAACTAGAAGTATGACTAGAACTGGTTTCTACATGCTTTTATGGGTTATTAATACGTAATATAGTCTGATAGCACCACATTGTTCACAGAGCTGGGGAGATACTGACTGTTGTGTGTGGGAAACTGCAATTTTCAGTATTTGATGCAGATTTTAGAACATATCACCACCTACTTCCAGCAACTTGGTATTTTTATGTTTTTCACACATGGAGGAGTATGCTCTTTATTCCTTTCCATAATGTACATTTAAAATAGGCTTGCTTGGTAGAACAGGGACAGCTTTTATTGTAAGAGCCCTTATAAAGCAAAGGAACATTTCCACTTTTTCATTGTGTTGAAGTATTAGATGTTGTCTTTGCACCAGTCGGCAGAGGTTGTCCTGGTGCAAATATTTGATGTTGTTATGAAGGCAGCAGTTCAGAAGTGCAAAACCTTTTTCTTCATCCTACAACATATGTATACAATACGTACATAATGCTCACATAATCCTGTTGGTGATGTAAGCAGGGGTTATGGCAGATTCAAGGAAGCAACGTAGTTCCCAAAAACAAAAAAGGGGACTATCTTAGCTCATGCACTGGATTGAATAGCAGGCCTTTTCTAGAAAAGTATAAATATAGTAATTCCAAAATTACTGTCCTTTTGATTATAGCCACTGAGAGTAGTGAAGAGAAGTCTTAAAAAGTTAATTTTGTGAGTACTTTGTAAGGAAGGGCATTAAATGTCACTATTCTGACTTTTTCAGAAATGATTCAGAGGAACATAGTACTGTTCAACCCTTTGTGTTTTTAACTTGTTGTTCCCAGCAAAACCACAGCAATAGATTCTAACTTCTCCCCATGTAATGGTTTTCACTGTAGATCTCAAGAAGACCTGCAAGGAAAATGGCACCTGCTCCTTATGCTTATTCCGTGCACCGACCATCAGTGACATGCTCAATGATGAGGACTTGTTGTACACAGTGAGGCTAAAGCTGGATCCCTGCCACCCAACAGTGAAAAACTGGAGAAATTTAGCAAGCAAGTGGGGGATGACCTATGATGAATTGTGTTTCCTTGAACAGAAGCCCCAAAGTCCCACCTTGGAGTTCTTGCTACGGAATAGTGACAGGACTGTGGAGCAGCTGATTGATCTCTGTAAATTTTATAAGAGAATTGATGTTGTGAAAGTGCTGCTGAAATGGGTGGAGGAGGAATGGCCCAAGAGAGGGAACAGAACTTACCAGAATGACTTCTAGGTCAAAGAAAGTTGTTAGTCTGTACGTGTTAAATGCTGGGACTAGCTGCCACTAGTACATGGAAAGTTCCCCTCACAAGAGAGAGAGCCTGTACTGACGGTTTGTATATGGTGTAAGCTTTACGTACTGTATACAAATATATATGTTCTGTGCCCTTATGGTTGCAAAGATAACCTTCCAAAAATGGATGGAATAATGCAGGTTGTGTTCTTGAGTCTACAGATGCCTTCAGTTTCTTTGCTGCTGTTTGTAGGCTTTGTAAGCAGAAGAGGAATGAAAAAAGCAGACCACTGGTTTTACTGCAGCAGCTGTGAATCATGTCCGTTCTGTGCTGTTGCTATTGGGAAAGCCACAATTAGAAGGCAAGTCTCTTGGCCTTTCTGGCAGCCCTTCCACAATTTTATATGTTCTACCTAGTAGAAGATGAGAGGTTATTTTTTTTTCTTCCTTTTAAAAATTTTTTTCTTTGTTTTTGGCACAGGAACGCCTCAGTGTTCCAAGCAGCAGTTTGGATTTGCATGTTATAATTAATTCAGTGTTTCAGCATCACATTCAGGCAAATTAAGCTTTACATCTCTTTTATAAACAAGAATCACATTCAGGTGAATTAAGCTTTACATCTCTTTTATAAACAAGAATAGATGTTAAATAAAATATTTGCATACTTCTACATCATAGGGCATATATTTGCTGTAGAAGAAATCGTGCAATTCAGAGAGACTTTCCAGCCCATAACCACTAGCAACCAAAAAAAAACCCCAAACAATTAAAATGCTTTATACTTAAAATTACTTTCCAAAGTTTTGAAGACAATATACACTCGGAGTGCACTTATCTGTTTATCTCAAATGCATTTTGCTTTGCAGAGTGAGGTGACGGCTAATGCCTCACCCACAGTATATCCTTAGTATTGAGTGTAACTTCCCTTTTCACAGGCTGTGGTTTTCTTTACAGTCGCGTGGGTTGACCTACTTTCTGTCCCACACCAAAGTAGTTGCACACCTGCGTGAAAACACAAATTTATGTATTGATTAAAGCCACTCTAATGGGAAATTAAGAGCTATATTCATCTGCAATCCAGGTGGATGGTTAGTCAAGCACTTATGGTGGTTTAGACCAATGTTTCTCAAAGAATTTTGATACTCTGAATTACACTGTTTACATTTTAAATGTTTTGGAAATTGGTCTTTTTCCCTACCATTCTTCTGTGTTCTAATGTTTTTAAAAAAAACTCTGAAAAATCAGTTATACGATATTATGTATAAAGTAGTTGTAGCTAAAATGCCACACACAAAAATGTTGTGACTTAAAAATACTTCTAGTTGTTATCCTTACTAAGAGCATCTCAGACAATACTTAATATGTACATAGGTGTATATACCAAAGCACTGGTGAACAGTATGTCAAGATGTGGCGCAAAACTAGAATGGGGCAGAGGTTGCTGCACTGTTTACTTTTCTTAAGTAGAAATTGCTAAGAATTAGTAGCAAAGCTAAGGGAAGTCTAATGCTGTATACTGAGTTTTTTACTGTAAGAGAATGAAAAGAGACTTCTAGTAATACTATACTATAGATACTAAGCAATATGGTTAGAGGAGCTAGAAGTAAAGACTAACATTTTCAATGTCAGGCACTAGTTCTGGGGTGACATAAATTAGCTTTATTTTAGTGACTTCAAGAAGCTGAAGATCTAGTTTCAAGGTGAAAAGACTGACCTAAATTTGAGGTTTGCATTTTTTTTTTTTAAAGCTTGTGGAAGACTGGCATTTTTAATAACTTTTTTTAACCATTCCTCAAAAAAACTGCTATTCTTTAGAACAGTAAGTTTTCTAGCCATATTTTAAAGAGGAAATTGTACTGCTGTATCTTGTTGGGGCTGCAGTTCCAATGTTTCATGTTCTTCTAGGAACAGGAGTTTCCCAATAGATGTCTGTCAACTCTAATTTCTGCAAATAATCTTCTGTCTTTCGTTAGGAGCTTTAGAATCAGCTTTGAGGGCTACTGCTGTGGCTGGGCTGCCTGCTGTTTTCAATTTCTACAGAGGCATCCACTGTGTACGTGCACATAGCTCATAATGCAGCTTGTCCAACATAATCCCCATACCTTGGCCCTACTATGTGCATGATTTAGGACCATGTATCTGTGTTAAGTTGTTCTGAGTGATGAGTGCTGGCATGTATGCCAACAGCTTTTCTCTCCTATAATATACCGCAGCTATATGTGTGTGGTATTATAGTATGCAATGCTTTGGTAGATCCAGTCCAGCAAGGAGCTGAAGCCCTCACCTAAGATGCACAATGGGAACATGACATGATGCAGAAGCATTTCTGAATCAAGATGTTCAACTGAAATCTACCCCTTTTCCTGTTTTCTGGCTAAAACTTCTAAAATTTTGAAGAAACGCTGTTGTCTTATGGAAGTGAGTTCTGATCCCTTGAAGCTCTTAAAGTCAATGTCAGCTGCAAGGATTCATGTCTGATGGCAATAAACCTGCTTCTGAGATATGTGAATTCTGTATAAATTCAACACTGAAGGTTGAAAATGTTAGCCTTAAATTTCATCACACACTGGATTACTCATTAGTATACTTGAAATATTTCTTTCCTCTTTGTATGACATGAATTGAGATGTACGCTTTTTAGTTTTATATCTGTTTACAAGATGTTGGGTCTGAGTGTTCAGTTTATTCTTATCTTCTGTTATGATGTATACTATTTTTAGAAGAAATATAGATTGTCAGTGTTTGACTTTATTGTATTTGTTTTTATTACAGCTAGGAAAACATCTGTTTTCCTTCTCCCCAGTCACCTTGGAACAACTGAACTATCAACTAGTTGTACTGTGTAAAACAAACAAAAAAAACCACCAACACCCCCTCCCCCCAAAAAACCCCACACAAGATTCATGGTGTCTTAAAGCACTTATGTTTGCAACAGGTACTGCTATTCAAGAAAAGAAGATGCACCTTTTTTTTAATCTTCTCCGTATGAAAAGAGAGTTAATTTTGATAAGATGATGAACGAAGATGTTATTTAGAAACCTGCAGCGGAGTTACTAACTGTAGAGAGGTATGAAACCTACACTGGGTGAACTCTTCTTGAATTAATAACCAATCTGATAATGAAGGTTAGAGAATCGCATAGGCACTGAAAAGGCTCTACTAGACTATCAGTTTTGTTCCGTTATATCTTTTTCCTATTCCTATGAGAGACCTGCTTTCCCTTCAGGGATTTCCAGTTCTTTAGCTGCTATCTGTGTGCTTGCAGGATAATCAGTGGCCCTCCCACTCACTTTAGCCTCTATGAAGATGTCCAAACCACTATATTCTTTCATTCCTGCAGCTTTATCTAAGATATGGTGAGCCTAATAACTGTTCTTCAATAGCAAAGGTACAGTCCTTTGCTCCTGGAGCCCCTAGTTTTCCTGTGATGTCAACTATGGAGCATCCCCAACAAAATGGTGATAGTATCCATTTGCCTTACTTGCTGCATGCAGTTCCCTTTGATCCATGGAGGGGAATGCAAAATATTTTTCACTGTCTCAAACTGACTTTGGAAGCCTACCATAAAGGACAGGGTAGTCAGCATGTCCCTAGGTGCTTGCTTAGAAGTTGTACAGAAACCATAAACCATACTTCTTCCTGAATCACTACTGAATAAGGGAGAGCTGCAGCTCAGTCTGGGCAACGCTTTGTGCAAGAGACTGCATATTTTTCACTGTCTCAAACTGACTGCCACCCACAGTTCCAAGTCAAGCTGTTAGCAAGTGGAAAAAAATGGGAGTTCTGCCTTATGGTGGCTTAAGTTAGGGTAAGAGTATTGACTTGTGGCCAGATATACTTGGAAATTATTTGTCAGCAGAATTGTTTAAGCAAGGTCAAAGAAAGTGCATGGCATTTATAATAATTTAAAGAGCAGCCTACTTCTGTAATTTTTACAGCATATCATGTGCTCTGTCCATGAAGGAAAAGCAATTAGTTATTCATAACTAATTTCAATATATCTTGTAAGTTGTCAGTTTTGGATAATAGGACAGAGTGCCATTAAATGAGGTCTTGGACCTGTTGCCCATTTTGACAGAAAAGTGCTTTTCCTTGCCCCTGAGCTCAGCTAGTCCTGATTGTAAGGCTGTGGTCAGTTGTTAGCCTTAGCTAGGTAGGGAAGGTATGGATCTTCTGCTCAGACAGGCTGAATTATGAGGAGCACTGAGAATTTATTTGGAAAGGTGGGAGTCTGTAGTATTTGTAAACCTGTGCCTTGGCCAAGGTCTGGGACTGACTCCATCTTACAAAAAACTGATGGCAAAGGGGAGTTGACAGACCTGGGAAAGGCTTGCCTGTACGTTCCGTTGGGGCAGGGGCAGTTAAACAGCCAGGCAGACTCATCAGTTGGTTTGATCTCTGTATTTTACCTTTGTAAAATGGTGATTCTTGGTTTCAAAGGTAGGTCATTGGGGTAAATGTATGTTACTGTGGTAATGAGAGTCGCATGAGAATCTTAAATGTGAGAAAGATAAAGCAGCGCAAGTCTTGTTAGGATGGGATCAGCAAGGTTGACTTTGGCCTTTTTGAACTCCGACTTTCATGAAAGAGTATTGTTGTGTTGGGTTTGGTCAGGCTTTGCTTACTGGCCTTCACAGTGCTATGAAGATGAGGATTAAAATTGGAGAACAGATTAGAAAGAAGCAGCTTCTGTCAGAAATAATTAGTGAGAAGTAACGTCTAACTCTCTTTCCTCTGATGTATGTATGGAAATAGTTCCCTTAACTGAAAATCTTAGTTATTTACAGCTGCCTCTCTCAACTTGTTTTGAGAAATTCCAGAATGTGTTCTGTGTATCTGTGTACAGCATGACATAGATATGCAACTTTATGTATCTGCATAAAGGTGCTTTTTTTTTATTATGAGTTTGCTTCAAAATAACCCAGTATTTAGTTTGGGAATGCCTTTCGTCTCCAAAAATAAACAAAGTTTCATGTTGTTGATGACATAAAACTTTTACACAACTAAAAAGTTTCTTAACAGGAAGAGCCAGGATAAGAATAAGAAAAGGGCACCCAAATCCTTACACTAGCAAGAATATCTTGAGTCTAAGCTGAGTTGTTTTTTTCATGTTTGTGTTCCATATATGTGAGCTTCCTCCACTCCTCTCAAGCTTTCACGATCTCATAAATAGTTTATTAGACTTTTTTTGTTCTAATTTAATTTTGTCTCTACTTTCTCTGAAGCTGAAGAGTTCACCAAC